GAATAAGGTTAGAATAAGTTCAGAAAAAAAAGCCGGTTTCTTTCAGATTCTCTGGTCTTATATGTGAAGCATATTCTTCCTTGTCTGTTTTTCCATTATGTTTGTTTTTCTGTTCCTGCTCTCTGTAAAACCAATACCAATTTTTCTGAAGGATAACTTAGTCTTCTTTATGCAGTAGTGTAGAGTCAGATTAATTCCACTGTCCTCAGTGTTTATTGCAACAAGCACATCCAATACAGTAACAATGCAATGACTACAGCAAAAAATATTTCCATTTTGATTGCTGATATAAACGGCCAGCTGCCAATGTGCTAATCTGTAAGGTGGCAGCATTTCCTCCGGAGTCTGCTAGCGCATCCTGACTGTGGGAATAACGTTTGTTCCCCTTCATCTAACTAGTAGATTCCAGATGAAGTGGAGGAGTTGGTTGTAATTGCATGCATTTGTCTGTCTGTCTAATCAGGTTGTAACCTTCAGGTTTGGAGTTGCTGCCTGCCCCTCCAGCATCAAAAGAGCCCACCATAAGGATGTAACACTTGTTTTAAAACGTGTGTGAGATACGGATTGGTTTTGTGACAAATACAAAGGTCTTGGAAACACAATGTAGTAACACATGTTCCCATTTCTCAGTTAGAGATCCATGAAGGCTGTTCTTAAACGCTTGCAGTCACAATAACTACCTCTCTTCTCTTTCCCATAGTACCAGTCAGCTGCAAATGTAGTGCCCAGAGTTTTGTGTCTCCACCAAGCTCTCAGAGTCGCTGCTGGTGTTCATTTCAGCACCCATCTGCTGCCAATAACTTGTCTGTCCGTCTACCACCATAATGCCTTCCTGATTTGGATGCTGAGGTAAACTTTAGCATACGAAATGGCTGCCAAAGGGAAGCTATCCTAATTTCCTTTCATCTCCCTTGGTGTTTAAAAGCAGACTGCATACAAATACTTTGTATTCCCTCGCTCCCAACTGAGGGATAACTCTCAGTAGCAGTTATGTGGCTGTGGTGAAGAATCACACCCAGGGAATGCTGTGTGCCACAATTGAGAGTGAAAGATCCCTCACAAAAATTAAATTCATCACTCTTCACCTTTCAGTAAAGGCCAGGCACCAGGCTTATGGATTCCAGATGTTTTGTAGCCCCTTGGCTGCTACATGTAACCCTTCTGTTTGATAGATCCTTGTCCATAATCCAAAATCAACAAAAAAATAGTGGTTTAATGAGGGTCTTTCTTGCTCCGATAAATACTGGAAACAGCATCAAAAGCAGTTTTCAAAATGCATTTCTTTTTCTCTTTTGACCCCCTTTTATTGTAAATCTCTGCACTGATTGACTCTGTCAGTGAAATAAGGCATCAGGCTTGTAGGTAGGCAAGACTTTGGCTTTAGCTTAATAGAAAGTCACATGTGAATATCTAGACAAGGGTTCATACCCTGATTTAACAGAAATTTGGAGTTAGAGTCTTGATGTGACTGAACAGCAAGGGCCTCCTGCAAGGTGCTCCATTCCCCCTCAAGGTACTGGATAATGTGGCAGGACAGCACTATAAATCCCTGGTGTGCTATGCTCTGAACATACCCTGGAGAATGCTAAAAGCCATTGAAAATTCACAAGTGAGGACCGCAACATCAACTGCAAACCTAAGGGGCACGATGCCGCTGTAGGTGCAGTAAATGGTTCCTTTTGTCCGGCATCCACTCTACACCAGCATCCCCGGTACTGTAACAAAAGCAAGCCACTATCCAAAATGCTTTAGAAACCATTTGTCTGATGGCAGTAGTCTGGATTCAGGTGTGTATATGCTGTGTGGTTATTGTTTTTACGCTTTGGTTTCACTGAGATGAAATGGGGATGAGGTGGCAGCCTACCAGTTTCACATCCTTTATCCTCCCGCTACAACTCGTAGGCAGGTGAACGTGCTGCCCGCCTTTGGCTAAGGGATGTGCAGGAATGCAGTGTCAGACAGAAGCATGAGCATACTCCTCTCTCTTTTTCCCTCACATGTGCTTACTACACGCTCCTCTCGTTACCTTCGAGGCGGGTCGTGCGTGCGTAGGCAGAGCCTGACCCTGCGTAGCATTCGGGTGATGGCTCTGCCTTTCCAGCATCAGGATGCAAGAAACACTTGCCTAAAGCTGTAAGGACCATGGCTGTGCATGTTTCTCCATAGGGACAACTGCCAGGTGCTTACAGGCTCTGAAAGAAAATAAACTGAAGCATTTTTGAAACAGAAAATGTTTGGTATGGGCAGCTGTTGCAAATGATTTGCGAATGCTTGAACGAAAGTTCAAGACCTGCCTTCCTCTTTTTTGACTGAGGTAGCAACTGGCTCAGTTGGCAATTCGGATGCAATCCCAAGAGGTTTCTGGCAAGCAGTTTACTAGTTACATAGCAAGTAATTCAAGGAGTTTCAGAGGTGTTGTATAGTTTTGTGTTTACTCAAAAAAAAATTAAAATTATTTCTAATTAGTCCATTTCACATTGAGTGGCAGATAGAGGTATATTTTGTTTAATCACGATCTAATACAGAGGCCTCTGTGAAAGAAAAGGTTTATTTGTAGCATTGGGTGCATTTCTCCTTTTTAAAGACTGTCTTTGCGCATATAGTGTCCTTTTTTTGTGAGCTGGGAATTGTAAAAAAATGTAAAGTAGAAAAGGACGTGTTTCTTAGACGGAGAAATACTGTAAAATTGTGTAAATGTCACTACTCATGTTTTCTCGTGTTCTGTGTAGCATAGTGTAAAATAGGCTTTCCAGCAGTGTTGTTCTGTGAATTGTAATTTAAAAACCAAGCCATGCATGGTCAGAGATATTATCTACAGGTCCTTTTGGTTGAGTTTTTGTTTGTTGTTTTCTCATTTTAGGTAAATTTGTTTTATGTTAAATTTAATTGTCCATGGAACTGCATTTTTTTGTTTCTCAGTTTTATT